TTGCGTTGACAATCGCTCAAAAACCACAGACTTATAATTGGTATGATTATAAGGCAGCATGGATGAACTTTTCTTTACTTGAGGCCAAGACACACTTGGTTCGTAAAGTATAGTCAGAGTATTACCAAGACTACCATTCCCAAATGGTTTTATGAATGGTGGAACTTATTTGGAGGAACTGAGAAAATTCTTCCCCAGCAATTTCTCAACAGGTTTGAAGAATTTCAAACCAGAGAAGGAATTACTACATTACTAGAGCATATTAAATTATGCGAATATTATATTCAAAAATGAATATCCTATATTATTACTTGGAGTTTCTCCAAAGTTAATGTAGATCGTATTCAACATTTGTGCAAACAAATCCAAGTCAAAGGTTGAGTTCCCAAACAACCAACTGTTAAGGTTCAAGAGAAGACGGGATCTTCTTCTAAGAAATTATCCAAGGCGGCTCTCAAACAAAAATTGAAAGAAGCAATGGAAAATTTAGATGACTATGATGAAGACCAAATCATGAAGATGATTGAAGACACTGCTTCTACAAAAAGCAGCAGTGAAGATAATGGTGACATGTGTAATCCTAAAGGTTTAGCCTTAGCTTACATGGAGCCTAATTATGAATAGGAAAAGGACCCTTATGGAAAAATAGAGGCAAAGCCGGAATTATTTCTCTATATAGTGGCATTTCACTATTCTAAATTAGCATCCTTTGAGAAGCTACAAGACAAGTGGAACGCCTTTTTATTGTCGGCAATATCTTAGCCGTCCATTTGTATGCCTAAGATATAAAGGCAATCTCCCATTTCTCTTATATACGGAGCATTAGTTTTACCATTAGAGGAATCAGATCCCCAGTATTTCTTGGATGAGATCAAGAAGATCTTTGAGGTGATGCAGGTCACTAGGAATGATCGGGTTGAGTTAGCATCTTACCAACTGAAAGATGTAGCTCATATCTGGTATACTCAGTGGAAGGAGAACAGGGGTACAAATGCTGCTCCTATCACTTGGGATTGTTTCAGCGAAACCTCTCTGGACAGGTTTTTCCCCATAGAGTTGAGAGAAGCAAGGGCCCAGGAATTTATGAACTTAAGGCAGGGTAACACGACTGTCCAAGAGTATGGGATCAAGTTTAACCAACTCTCCAGGTATGCTCCTCACATGGTTGCTGATTCCAGGGCTCAGATGAATAAGTTTCTCTATGGAGTGTCAGACTTAGTGAAAACAGAGTGCAGGAATGCTATGTTGTTGGGAGACATGAACATCTCTAGACTCATGACTCATGCTCAGCAGGTTGAGGGTGATAAGCTTAGGGAACAGGCTAAGGAGACTAAGAAACCAAGAACATGTAACTACGAGTATTCCCAACAGAAATCGGGTGGGGGAAATCACTCGCATTTTCAGCAGAAGTCTTCGACTCCAACCCCTTCATCAGCTAGTGTTCCATCCCCAGGTTCCGTAATGATCAGAAAGGTAGGGCGTCAGGCTCTAAGTCTCAAGGTAGT